ATTTTTTGTCACCTTGACATTAAAAAAAAATCTCATTGTGACCTCATTCATGTTATGCAATTTATTCTATGTAAGAAGTAGTCTTTGTTGCATACATCATATTAGTTATTTAAAAACTTATTTTAAATTTATTATAAATTGACTTCTTATATATCTAAAATATTAATACCATACTTTTATCCATGAAGGTTAAAACTTTGAAATAAAAAATCCTTAAAATTTTAATTTAATAAAAATGTTATTTTTTACGGATTAATTTAATAACAATTTTTTAAAAAAATGATATAATCAAATTTTAATTAACTTGAAATCAAAACTATTAAGTATTCATACAATGATGCGTATGAATTTGAAGAATAAACTTGAGAATTTATAAATTATAGTATTTTTTTATTTTATTGATCTCCGTTCTAAATGTATGGTGTATAAAAAATAAAACAATACCATGTCTTCAAGGGAAGATGGCTCTGTTGGTTTTTAAAAGTCAAAATTTTTTTAATTAGAGTTATTATTAACTTATCTTATTATATTTTTCATAAATTTTTATAGAAAATAATGCTAATAAAAAAAAAATATTTGTTTCCTTCTTCTTTCTCCCCAATTAAGCAAAGTCAAAGTTAGTACAACTTAAAATTGAAAATTTCCGATGCAAATTAAAATGACATCTATTAGAAATATGATGAAACGACGGCAAACTTTTTCTTTCCGAATAGTAAGTTGTACCAATCAAACTTTAAGTCAACAGAAATAAATTAGTACTAAAGATTGAATAAACTTATAAAACTACATTTTCAAATTTTGATATCGTTATTATGATAACAATTTATATTCATCCAAAGTCATAAAATAGCAGTGCATACAGGATTAAACCACTCAAAGATTTATATAAGTGGATCACGAATAAATCACATAAGCAAATCGCATCCAATCTAAAATTTTAAGACTTTTATCATTTATATGCTGTTGATTTTTCTTTTTATTCAATATAAGACTTCTTTATTCATTCATCTAAAAAATATTATATTTAAAAATAATTGAAAGTGCAAAATTTTACACATTTGAATATCAGCTTCTCTCAATTTATATAATGAAACATTTACTTTTAAAAAATTGAAAATACATCTCAAAATTTAATGGATGGAAAAAAATATTAAAATGCATATTTTAATAATAACTGTATTTTGAGCTAAGAGGTAATAAAATGTTTTACCTTTTAATGATAAAAACAACCTACATACAGGCTACAGATAGAAGATGTCGCCATAAAAAAATGCTTATAAAATCATTCAAATAAAATTAAAGCTAAATTATCACTAACATTCTTTTTTAAGTTGGAGCACGCAAGAAATACATCTCTAATTACTTCTTTCCCAAACTTTGATAAAAATGTTTTTAAATTGCAGACTTGCATGAACATAACAGTAGCTAGTGATAGTTTTGTTAAGAACAAAGAGATAGTCAAGTTCAATGTGCTTTATTCATTCACAAAAGATTGCGTTGATGACAATATAAAGAAAAACCTAGTTATTATAGAATAGTTGCAAGACTGTGAATGGGACACAACAAGGGAGAATAAGAAAGATTTTAACCATAAAAGCTTAGCAGCAATGGCGACCATGTGAATTAGTACTCTACTTTTACTGGGGAATGAGTAACTGTATGTTTACTACACCATTTTAAATTTTATAGCAATCACTTGTATGGTAAACTAGAGGAAGGTATAACTACTTTTTAAAGTCAATGTAATCAATTGTTCTTTAATATTTATTTAAAGATTAGTTTTATATATAATCATTTTCTTAAATTACTTTAGAGAATAAAAATGCACAACCAACTGTTCTCACTAAAATAAATATTTAAAATATACTTTAATAATTTCTAACATGTATAAGGATGAAATTTTGTTCATCTCACAATAAGGAGAATAAATTTCATCATGTCATGGTGATTGGCGTTCAACATGGTAAAGAGTTAATAATACTTATAGGTTTCATTTCAAGCATGCTGGTGAGAAACTAGCAATAGTTTAAACATTATAGTGACAACGACATTATGTTTGTGAAAAGTGATAAGATTATAAGAATAGTAGTTTTATAATGATGTGTTTGATTAACAAATGACAATTGTAGTATTGCAAGAAGGTGTGTGTTGGTAAAAAGTGAGACGCAATGGTAAAGCTTAGGTTTTCAGTGATTTGTGATTGAGTCGCAATGATGTAGTGATTTAGGTTGTTGGTATACACAATAGTGAGAAGGACTTGTGCTTGACATTATGATTTTGAAATCAAACAGTGACAATTTGGGCTACCATAGTAGCAATTCATAGGATAAGAGAGACACTTCCTACTCTTAAGTACATATAACTTTACATAGTAATACTTGTTAGAATGATTTAAAGTATTCTCTTTTAGATGATGAAAAATTGTTGTCTATCCCATGTAAATAACTGTCAATTTAACTCTAAACACAAAATCATAATTAATTTGCTTTGGTTGTTATATAAATTGAAAGAGTATGAACTATATAATTAAATTTAGAATAATAGTAAAAAATAAAAGACAATTGATGAAGCAACAATAGCACATAGGATCATTGTAGTTAAGGATTATCAACAAGAGCCAACTTGTGACTTACTTTACTCAATGAAAAACTCAATAAACTTACAACCGAGCAAACCAAACTCAAAATGTCAATGGAATGCTTCTAAGTCATAGAATCACGAGCAATTTTAATTTCTAAAAAATATTTTTAAATTTTAATATCTTTTATCTTAAAATAATAATTAAAATACGTCGACATGCAACTAGGTCATTTTGACCAAGATAATATTATTTACATATACAAGTAAAGCAAAAAAAAAATATCACCTTGCTGGAGAGTAAAAAAGTGTAATCAACCTTGCATTGGATAAAATCATAACTCTTAAGTGAGGTATGAAGTTTGGGAAACCAATTTCTAAATAGACGAGTAATAAAAATAAAGTTCTTTTTTAAAGCATAAATTAAAAGAATATATATATATATATATATATATATATATAACTTCTTATTTATTACTTGAATATTTTATATATTTTTAAACAAAATTAGCATTTTTTTTCCTTTACCTTTAAGGTAAGTAATGTTAATTCTATTAAAAGTTTTTATCTTTTTTTATCATGTATATTATTGTTCATCATGTTTCTTAGGTTTGTAACTACGACTCTCACTTTTTCTTTTCTTTCTCTTTTTTATCTTTCTTTTTCTTTTTTTCCTTTGACCCTTCATTGTGAGATTTTTAAAAGAAAAAACACAAATAAACAAAAGACAATAGTGTGTAGCTAGACTTGAATTTAAGTTTGAACTCAAGTGAGTTGAGATTGATGCTACAAATGCTTTATAACCAATGATTTCATGGGTTCTTACCTTTTCATTTGGAATTTTCAGCCACACACTACTATTATTTTTTCAAAATCACATACAATGGAAGGATGAAAAACTAGAAAAAAGGAAGAAGAAAAGGAAAAGGATGAATATGATAGAGAGGAAGAAGAGGAAGAAGCAAGAGAAAAAAATAAATAATACACCTGACAGACAAAGATAAAAAAATATGTTAATAAAGTTAAAAATAATAAAAGACTTATTTAAAGTGTTTTTAAAAATTAGTGGATCAAAAATAAAAGTTTGAAGATAAAATTAAAATTTATTTTAAAAGTAGAAGATAAAAATATTTACTTTACTTATTAATTATCTTTCATTTTTTGGTAAGATTATAATTCAAAAGAGGTAAAAGAAAATTGAATAATGTCATGCTTAATTGCATTTTTTTGTCATCATATTCTAACTTCTATTTGATTTTAGTCTTTCAAATTTTAATTATTCATATTTAATTTTTAAAAAACATTTAAATTATCTCTTACCAAACATTTTATCCAATTAATAATAAAAATATAATAAAGGTAAAATATATTATTGATTTGAATAAATTTATAAAAAATTGTATAAAATATTTAAATAAAATATTAAATAAACTTAGTAAAAATTTCTTACTTTTATTAAGCTATTTTTATACTTTTTTTCTTATAAATTTGTATAAATCAATAATATATTATATTTTTATTATATTTTTATAAATTATTAAATAAAATTTTGGAATAAAATATTCAAGTTGAACAATTAAAAAACTAAATATCAACTATTAAAACTAAAAAATTTAAATCACACGTAAGTTAAAGTATAAAGGATAAAAGTAGAATTAACCTTAATATTATTTTAAAACAATAGGTCATGATTTTCTTTAAAAATATTACTTTTATTAAGAATTAAATACTTAATTTATTAAGATCATGAAAAAGAAATTATATGTAATAAACTTATATTTTATTTCAAAATTACTCATAATATTAAATATTTAAATTAGTATATTATATATTAAATGAATGTATTAACTTTCATAGGATAAAAGATGAATATTTTGTTACACAAATCTTAGATTAAGGGCATAAAAAGAACTTAGTAATTAATACATCTAAAAAATTATTTCTTATATTTAAAAAAAGTATATTTATAATTATTTCTTATATAAAGGACCAGATATAACAACATATAAGAAAAAGGAAAATAATAATTAATATTTAAATGTATATAATTTTAAAAATAAAATTTAACATTATTAATATGCTCTTATTATAACTTTTAATAAACTTTTTTATATGTCTTGTACATCTTTCTAACATAAACTTTTAATATCTTAAAAATATAAATAAATATTTAACATAAACTTTAATGAAAGGATTTATTTACTTATTCTTCAATTAAAATCCTATGCATTAAGAGTGGTCAACAGTAACCTAAAATAAAAGCTAGCTAGATAACCAGTAAAACAATACTGTGTATTTATGGGACCCTTCCATTCTTTCTGCCTTGTTGTCTGTTTCATGATGAACTTCGGTGGTTGTTACATTATAAATTCTCTGCTCCCCCATTTCTCTTTATCAAGCTCACACACATCCTTCACTTTCCTCCGCCGCCCTCACCCACTTAAGCAAGCAAAATGAGAAGTATTACCCCAACAAAGCTAAACACAGCCACCATCACCACCACAAACACATTAGCACCAACAGCCACAACATCATCACCATCCACAATTTCTTCTCATCACTCCCCATGGCACTCTCCAATTCCCTACCTCTTTGGAGGCCTTGCCACTATAATGGGTCTCATAGCCTTTGCGCTCTTAATGCTTGCTTGCTCCTATTGGACACTCACAAGGTCCTTAGACACCAATTTGGAGAACAACAACAACAAAGAGGGTGGTGACCATCGAAAGAAGGTACCCATCAAGGACTACGAGGACAAGATCCTGGTCATCATGGCCGGGGACCAAAAACCCACTTTCTTGGCCACACCTGTATACCCCAACTCATCTTCTTTTGCACACTCTGTTAGTACCAACCACCACAAAGACCTAGGAAATTCTCAGGATTGTGACAAGTCCCAGAAAGAAATTGTGGACAACCATGTCAATTCAGCTGTCACACAAGAAAATGCAAGTTCCCAACATCAACAACATAGCCAGCTGTCAGAAATTTTATAGGTTAATAGGCTACTCTTTTCTTTTTTTTGGTTAAATTTTTCAAGAGGTTGTGTTTCATCGGAATTTATATATAATAAAATTTTATAAAAATTAATGTGTTAATGACATTAAATGTTTGTATAATTTTTTATGTTTTTTTATTAATATTTTTTTGCAGCTTTTTGTTGGCAAGAGAGAGAGGAGAGTGCTGCAATGAAATTCTCTTATCTCTTTTTTCTGTTGTTACTCTTTCTTCATTTGGTCAATTTTTGTGGTTTTCTTTTCAGGTTTTTTGGTAAAATTGTAAATTTAAAGTGAGAGAATTAGGATCAGGAGAGTTTCCTTTAAAAACTGTCAGAATCGAATCATTCACCTTGAGTTGAGAAGTTAGCAATGTATTCCCCCAACTTAGCATTCAATTTAAGTAAGAGTAAAGTATGCTTAGTTGTCCAGCCAGACAAACATTTACCAAATGCCGTTTGAATCACTAGCTTTGTTTTCTGTTCAATTTCTTGACCTTTTGGTTGAAGTTTTTAAAAACTTTTTCCTTTATTATTATTTTCTACTCTAATTTTATTAATTTTTAAATTGAAACAAATATAAATAAATTTTGGAAGGTCGTGATTGGAGCAAATTTGTGAGCATTACTATTTAAAATTATTTAATTTCAATAATGGCATTCCATTTTTTATAACTTATTATAAATACTGAATATTTTAAATAAGATACTTTATCTTCAAACTACTTTTCTTTTAATATATTTAACTATAAAATTTAGTTTATATATTTAATTAAAATAATAATTAATTATATTTATAAGTATCTTTCTAATAAGTGTCCTAATAATATTGGTTAAATAAATAAAGTAAAAAATTAATTAAATTATATCTATAATCTCTAAAGTTGACACTCGTATACAAAATAGTTCTTTTACTTTAAAAAAAATTATTTTAATTTATACATAAGCATTTTGTTATGTCTTAGTCTTTATCATTTGTGTTTTAATATATATCATTATCGATGTTAAAGATGTTATAGCAACAAGGTTTAAAATAATAAAAAAATTAAATATAAAAACTAATTCGTAAATAAATATTAACTATAAGAATTAAAAGTATATTTTAACCATACATAAAAAAAAAAGTCTTAGTGAATTTGTGTAGAAAAATTAAAAAATAGTCACCAAATAAAAGGATTATAAATTTTAAAAATATTAAAAACTTATGTATTTAAGTCAAATATCATTTATCGTTTAAAATCATATATATTTATTAATAAAATTTATTAATTTAGTAAATATATAAATCAATAAAAAAAACTAATAATGATAGTTACTAAAATACTAAAAATAATTCACATGATAAAGATTTTTTATCATAATTAAAAAGATATCTAAGCATATCTAGTCTTTTTAAATTAATATAATAGGACCAAAAAAAAGACTACATATGTCTAGATTTCTTTTTTTTTTTTATCTAATTAGTAGAGAAAAGAGAAAAAGAATCAACTAATTACTAATGATAATAAAAAAAATTATAAATTCATTAACGTAATAAAGTTGATTTTTTAAAATTTTGAATAATAGTGTAATTTCACATATCAAATATACTAAATATTTTATTTTTTATATAAAAAAATTATTTTTTAAAATATTACAAAAATTGATATATCATATAAAAAATATAAATTTAATTAAGTGTTTAGTTGTACAAAAGTTGCACAAACACAATACTTAAAGTTTAAATTATGCAACTTTTTTAATATTATAATGAATTAAAATATATATTTAGTTTATATATTTAATATATTTATGAATTAGTTCTTATACTTAAAAAAAAATCTACATTTTAATATTTGTACTTGAAAAAAAAAATGTGTTAACTAAACACGTGTATAAAAGTTAAAACATAAATCATCAAGACTAAAATACAATAAAACACTTGTATAAGAACTAAAATATAACTTTTTTAAGTATAGAGATTAATTCATAAATGTATGTGAATTATAAAGATAATCTATAATTTAACTTAAAAATTATCAACAAAAAATTATGTTATAATACTTTAAAAATAAAAAAAAAAGTGAATTAATATTTTTATTTCTAATTTTTTAACTAGTTTCCTTGTGACATTGATTAACATTTTTATTTATAATTAATTATTAGAATAAGTGTTTTATTAGAATAATGGTTAAGAAATTAATAAATAACACTTTCTTTATTCCATTTTTTCTAAGGTTATGCAAAAGAATTAATAAATTTTTAAATAATGTAAATGTATAATATTTTAACTAAAGTATTATTGTTTAAATTTTACATTTATTATTTTCTTAACTTTCATTAATACGGAAAAAAAGAAAGTAATAAATAAGAGATATAATTATAGTAATTAGTTGAAGTTGTTATCGATTTATTAATGGAGATGTATTAGAAAAAAATTAAATTAGTGTTAAATTTATAAAAAGACAAAAATTTGCAAGCGTATGTAAAAAAGATGGAATAATTATTTTTTTTAGAAATTATATTGGGATACATAAAAAATAATAAAGATGAGTAAGTGTATTGTTGATGTTTTTAATAAAGATAAGAATCTTAACCCCTAACAACACTCATTTAAAAAATTATTTAAAATAATTTTAAATGTTGATAAATAATTTATTTTGGTCATAAGATTTTATTATGACCATTTATTTTTTAAATACTTTATTTTACAATTTATTTACATTATAAATTTTTAATTTATTAAAATATTTTTAAAATAAATTTTTATTATATATATAACTCAATTAAAAACTTGTTTTGTTTTGTCTTTTAACATGTTTTGCTTTGTTCGGCTTCTACCAACTTGAAAGCACTAATCCATTAGGGTGCAATTATTATAAGGGACCTGTTTAAAGATATGTTCAATGGCCAGTTTGTAGGCCTTATTACAAATCAATTTTGAAAAAAATAAAAACTTTTAAATTTTGTCAGGCTTTGAACATGTGAGATTTTTAAAGACAAATGTACATCAAATAAATAAGTTCAAACTCAATCCTTAGAATATAAGTCATAGAAAAAATATGACATAATCTAATTTATTTTTACCATTAATTATGAATTGGACTTTTGTAAAGTGAATAATTTATTTTAGTAAAGGAAAAAGATTAGCAAAGTATTAATGAGAGTGTTAGGTGTGTAAATGTTAATAAATTCATAATTGTAAACTGATGATTTTTTCAAATCTGTGGCTCAGATTATTTAAATCGTTCCACATGCATCACGACATGCATTTCTTAGTCTTAATTGGATACTAGCTCAGCTTATAGATAGAAAGCAAATTATTTCTCTCTGCATAAATTGAACAAAATTATATATGAAAATGACCAATGGGGACCAGGGTTCGTTGGCTGTACGATTTCCAAGTATTTTAATTTATAATTATCGTTTTCTTTTGAATGGTTCACTTTATTTATTATTCCATTACTTGGTCGGCAAGGCATGAACTTCATGTGTTTCTTCCTCTTTACAATTTAAATTTTCAAACCCCCAATTAAAATATATTAAACTGTGCACTATATATACCTTCAGCTTGCATTATCATTTTGCCCATTCACCCTTCTTCGAGCTCAAAGTAGCTCTCCTCTACCTGCTTTCTTGTTATATATATGTTTTTTTGATATATTTGAAATTTGTTTTTTAAGGAGCACATTATCAACCATAAGTTTGTTAAGTTAGAGAATGTTTTATGAAAAATATTATTCTTTATTATATACTTACGAATATGTTGCAAAAATATGTTTTGAGTCTTTTCACATACTAACATTTCATGCTCCATATGTTTGTGTGTGTTGTTTTGGCGATGATGATGATACTTTGTTCGCTCGTCGTGCGTAAGAGCTAATGCTGCCTTGCCGACAAAGGGATTTTCTGAGGCCATATCTCTGATTTTCATCAAATTTGGTGTCATTTTTTTTGTTCGTTAATTCATGTGTTAAGGGCAGAGTTAGCTTCATACAGGACTGCATGAATTGAACATGCTAGTGGTGTAACAAATGCATCATATTATACTTTATTTACTTATTTAGTTAGAATCATGATCATTTCTCTATCAAATCTATCATAACATTTTCTTTACATACAAGAAACAATTCGTGTGTGGGTGTGTTTGTATATATGACAAATGAACCATCTAGGTTTGGACCCTTTTCCAAGTTCATTGCTCATTAGTCTTACAATATCCGAAGTAAAATTTAATCATGTATTTGGTTCTGCAGTTCAGAACTCCATACAAAGAAAGTGTTGGTTGGTTATTTTTAAACAAAATTTATTTCCAAAAGTGTGTTAGAGTAGAAGTCAAAAAAATATAGCTTGGCATTAATGTTGAAAAATTGAGATTAAATTTTACTACAAATCTCTTAAAATGTTTTTACATAAATCGCTTCATTCCAAACTTAATTTCAATCAAAGTCAAGTTTTGAAAAACAAGATCAACCAAAACTAAATTTACAACCACTCACTTAAACACGTTATAAAATATAAACATAGTCACAAGAAAAAAAAAATGTTTCTTATTAGATTTATATTATTACACTTGAAACAAGCCATAATTCAAGTAGAAAAGAGGGTAACCGTTACATGGGACGGGACTAACACTAAAAATCGAATGGACAATGAAAGGGGGTACTTCAACAAAGCACATGAGTATCTTGTTTGGGAAGGAAGGGTTTGATAAGATCAACACCCCATTTACAAACATCATGTGTGAGCAATTAAAAACACTGCAAACTCTTTGCACAACAATTTTTCCTAACTATAAATAGGAAACAATTAAGGAAGTGAGATGGTGTGAACAGCTCTATGCTAGAGGACCATAGTGAGTTTAAATTTGACTTCTATTCTTGCATGGTACACAGCTACAAGGAATACCTATGACCAACTATAATAAACTGATTTTGCCACACCCAATCTTTTTTGTTTCAGTGATCATCCACCAGCTATGTGCTACCCTTCTAATGAAGGACTCTTAGCCAGAGTTACTACGAGAAGAAGCACCTTGGTTCATCAAGAAACGAACAACAACGCATGTAATGTTGTCAGAACTACCTCTCTGATATGCTTCTTGCATCAGCCTCTTTGCTGCCTCTTCTGCATCTTCAATTGGTTTAGTCATAGCAACAGCTTCCTAGAGAAAGGTGAAAAGATTGAGAGTTAGATGAATAAGACTTTGGGGCCTGGCTTTCTGATTTTACACTTACATATTTATCAGTTATGACTCATCATGAGTTTGGTCTTTAGCTAATTTTCCTGAACCCTACATCATGTAAGTCATCATATATTTATATTCTCAAAGATAAGCCTATGAGTGTTACACAAAATTTAGGCAATCTTTGGTTGATTCTCATCTGTTGATATAATCTTTGACTCACACCTTTCAGAAAGAAGGTATTAACCTTATCAAATCACGGGACTAGCACCAAAATTGGGTAAAGAAGCAACCCAAAAGTTCTTGATAGGTCTTATTTCGTTTGAATTTTTGTGGTTTATGAAAATGCACCATAGTTATTCAAAGGGAATGGAAGAAATGAAAAATCATTGGCAAACCTCGTTTGAGACAACATCCCATAGCCCATCACTGGCCAATATAAGAAACTCGAGAGAGCTATCAACTTTTTCTTCCTGCAAGGCCACAAACATGTTTGTAATTGTAAATAATAAATAAGAGGAAAAAAGAGACCAAAAACATTCATGACAAGAAGCCATTTGAACAAGAATAAAGACCAGTCTGGAGACATATCTCTCATGAGGAGACTCGTAATGTTACAAATTATTATGTTTAACAGCATTTTTCTTCAAAAGCTCTAAAATGCTACTGTTCAAGGTTAATTGCACAATAAGTAGAGCAATAAAAGATTTATCACTTCATTGTACTCTTTTACCTTCACAAAGTTCTGGAAATTTCCAAGTATGTAAACATGCCAGAAACAAATATTAATACATTTAAAACCACATGCATAGTTATACACATCATGCAAGTCAGTCAAGTTTTTCCTTAAAATTTCTTGGAATCCAGTATTTTTAAACTTTATGATATTTTTCATCTTGTCATTTGAAACAGAATTTTATCTCTTCAATTCAATTTACTAGAAGGATGTTTTTTAATGTGAACCATATACTAAATCATGGACTGTATACAACATATACAGATTGACATGAATATGAAATATCCAATAATGGATTGACCATACTAAACGCACCTGGATTTCTGGATCAGCAACAACATACTGCTTCAGGAGTCTATCACCAAATGCACGAGAAACAGCAAGAACACCACCAACTCTCCAAGTTCCTGCAAATGTAATGCTTAAGCTCTTCATAGAGATAAACAAGATGAATTTATAAATCAAAACATGAAAGCTAACTATAAGATGACCTTACCAGCCCACATAACAAAGCCTCCTGCATCTTCAATCCTTTGCCTCTCATCAGTTTGGTCTGGCTTATGATCTCGAGAAACAGCAATGGCTAGAGGAAACAAAAATAGGAAATTAAAATATTTAAGTCACCACTCAATATCAGAAGGTTGAGGCAATTTTCTCAACAGAAGCACAATAAATTGCTAAATTCAAATGCAGACACCCGTTGCACTCACACCCTTACTAATACAGCAAGAATACACAATTAAAATCAAGTAAATGCCCTTAATATCTTAACAATGAATGATACCTAAATAGATTTTAAAGATACATTTAGAAGGAAAGAAAAAATGGTCATTTATGGTATTTGAAATAAAACAAGAAGTCATACATAAGCGCTCTGCACACACCACCAACATACAAATTATGATAAACCCAACAACATTAAACACTTGTAATTAAACAATATATAATAAACTTAAAATAAAAGGTTAGCACAAGGCAGTCTCTAGAGTTTCACATATTTAACATTTTCTTAACTGCACACTAGTGCCTAAAAATCCATAACCTTGTAAATACAAGAGAAATGGACAAACAATCATAAAAATGACTACATAAGTGATTAATGAGTGTAAACTTGTTGCGACAATACATTAGTTAAGTACTTGAACATATTCCAACTTCAATGGAGATGACTAGAATCTAGACAATAACAGGTAGAGAGAACTACAGTAGGAATCAAGCAGAGACACATAGGGTTGACATAATACAGAAATTTTCCAGAACCATTTCACAATAACAATAATTATTATGACATCCTGAGGTATCAAAAAACTAAAATTCATGTGAAACAATATAAGTAATACACTGTGTATGAAACTAGGAATTTACAATGCAAGACTATAGTCTTACCATTTCCACCCCTGCAAATAACAGCTCTGGAGTCCCCAACATTTGCAACAAGCAAACGGTCACCAACAAGAATGGCAGTGGAAGCAGTTGATCCAGCATCTCTGTTTTGATTATTTTCAGACTTCAGAAACTCAGTGTCGGTATGATTATATGCATCAGCTGTGGGGGGAAAACAGTTTGGAAGAAGAAACAAAATAGTTATTCTCAGGATTTATCAAATTGGAGAGCATCAGGCTAAAGGATCATGTTCTATGCCATAGATAGGAAATCACAGACCTATTGCAGATTTGGTGTCAGAAATGAATTTTGGGTGCCTGATCAAATTACTAAATAGATTTTGCTTGACATACTCAGCAGCACGAGCACCACCATGGCCTGAAAGTTTCAATCAAGAAAGTTGCAGCTACATTCAACATTTTTCAGTCGATAAATAACAGGTACAGGTTATATTTAGCCATGAGTAAATAATTCCTACTTGCTTAAGTGTAAGGGAAAAAAAATTCAAATGCCATATGAAGAAACACTCTGCGTTCAATAATTACTCTTATAAAGAATTAATGAAGGCAACGAAGAATACTAGAAAGAGAAAGTACAAGGCAATGGTTGAAGCCTCTGAAAATTATGCTCAAAGATGGATTACTTAGATAAGAAAACCTCCAGAATAATTTCCTTCATGATGTACAGAAAACAGTACTATAGCTGATCAATACATTCCACAATCAAATTGCTGACATGGAAGTCAAGAAGAGACCACAAGGGCAAACAAATTCAAACTTTCTTCCTCTTTATAAGTGTGCTGTGCGTGTGTCTATGAAGGTGTGTGAATTTGAGAAAATAGAAGCTTAAGTGAAGAAGCGTTCACATATGCCAGTATTAAGTCACCTGGAATAATTAATTTCCCAGTAACTTAGAAAGGGATAGAAACAAACTAATAAATAAATAACAAATACAAATAGAAATGTTTTTTTTATTAGTTCTACAGGCATCAGTAGTTCGTCATGTTTCCAATTAATGTAGACCTACAACCAGTACCCCATCTGAGCATCGTCTTATGATAAGTAGCATGGATACAAGGACATGGAGAGATGAGAGAATTATGTAAATATACCATCAAAAACTCCAAAAAGGCCAACAATTTCACCATCAACACCATCGATTCGTGTCTCATAAAAATCTTCCATTGAAGATCTCTTGCCAGGGGAGCTAGCATACCCATAGCTGAATTTGCCATTCTGACTGTACGTATAAATCAGAACAACTTATGTCAAATCATTCAATTAACCAGAGGACACAAAATATAAAGGAAAACTACCTATATTCATCTATGACCATCAAATTATGCAAAAAGATCACCATCTATATTAAATTTTTATCCTAGTAGAAAAACTTCGGCTAAGGGTAGTCATTCCAGTAGGAGTACAACTACAACATTAACCAATATAATCTATAGATGATAGGACACAGAGAAGCAAATACAACAACAAATTAGAAAGCAAAAAAGCAGAACTTGACTATGATATTCAACAAAACAAAGTTTGACCAGTTCTACATCAACCAAGACCTCTTCAAATAATTTTATTATACAACGAAAAATTCCAATAATTTTTTTCTTCTTGGCCAATGATTGTAAAAGTCGTGCAAATATCAAGAACTGCATAGAAGAACACGATTGTGATTGTGAATCTGCAAAGCAACACATGCAGTAATAGAACAAAACGGACACAACTGACAAAAGAATTAAACACAAAACTACCAAGTAAGAACAACATTAACCAACAACAATAACGACAACCATTAAATAAACACAAGGACAAAACAAATCAATTCACCAAATTCTAGATCTACAGAAAGAATGGTATTAACCTGAGGCCTCCGCCACTGACAGGTGAATCTTCAGCAGCATGAACCTGGCTTGAAGAGGACAAAACTGAATTGAGGTAACCCATATCACAGCTTGAATATTCAGGGTTCTCAGGCACAATTGCTTTGACCAATAAGAAAAAATGAAGAAATAATAGCAGTGTTGCGTGTGCACAGCTTATTCTTGCGTGCAAAAGGTTCCAAGTTATCATAACACTAAGTGGGGTGGGGTCATTTTGGAATCACAGGCTCCCAAATTTAATCTGCATAGAAACCCCACAAGGAAGAAAGTGCAGTTAATCTCACAAAGTAGATAAATTTACAAAAAAAGAAGCAAACTTTGCACCACCCAAATGAAAAAAAGACACAAATTTTGTTCATATAGATCTTGTCAGTTGTTACTATTAATCAATCCAATCAAACATTGAACATGGTTAGGATTTGGTTAGAGTTGTTGAATTATGGAGAGAAAGAAAGAACTAACCAAAGGAAGGGAAGAAAGAAGACATGGCATGACACAAAGAAAGGAGAGAATTGAGTTACAACGGTGAGAAAACACAGTGGATTCTGTCTCATTTTTAGTTCAAGTCAGCTTCATGGTTTGTTTGTTCCAACAACAAATTGAGTTCAACGCATTCAAACACCATCTTCTTTTAGTAAACTAATTAATTGCACCTAAAAAAATTAGTATATTTTGGAATTTCTTGCTTTAATAAGAAAATCAATTGAAAGCAGAAAATATTTTTCTTCTTTCTTTAAAAATAAACCTTTTCTTTTTTCACTCTTCTGTTTTTTAAATTTTTGGTTAAGCTAAAAATAAACCAAAAACTAGTTCCATCCTACGCGCGCGTCGCCGAAGGATAAGGGAAGCTAAGGTGGGACTCAGCCAATGCCAAAATAGCACTCTATCTGATAGATCAGATAAAAATTAAAAAATATATATTTTAATTATTGGATCTAAAATAATTAATATTAAAAAATCTTAAGCACTAGCTTTTCCTAAGTTTTTATTTCTAACTTAGTAAAGCTTGTTATTATGTACATGCAGAGGCATTGTTCATGCCCATTATGGATATGTTTGACATTTTCATCTATTACATCATTAAAGGTTGACTAATTACAATTGTTGTTGGGCCATAAATTCCATGTTCTCCTTTTGTATGAGTCTTAATTGTTACTTTTTAATTTTACGTGTTTATCGTTATTTTTTTAAAATATCCTTATTATTAATATAATTATAAAAAAATATTTAAAGAAGAATGACAATGGTGGCACTCTCATTTCCATACCCTGGATGTTCATGTTCTTCTGTTCTGCTAAGTTTAACAATGAATTTTGGATTTGGGTACAAGAATCCTATGACCGGTAGCAGAGGAATATATGAGTTGAACGAATAAGCCATTAACTGGTTTTGATATTTTACTGCAAGTGGTTCATTAAATCCGAACTTTTTATTTTTATTTAATTTTCATAATCTTAGGAATCAAAGCTTTGTTTAATTATTTAATAGGCCGTCTATGGATTCCTTTGACAATTACCTTTTACTGTGTGCTACCATTGGTTGTGCTATATCTCTCCCCCATCTTCTGCCTTATTTTAAGATTTTCTTACCCCTTAATTGTTTGTATATTCTTTTAAATTATAATTAAATAAAAATACTTTCATTTAATTATAACTTATTATATAATTAAAAGTATTTATATGTTAAAATTAATTTTCCTAACAAATTACAAACTAATTTTTAAAATGTTCATGATTTATGTAGAAATTTTTTTAGTCGAGACTTGAGAGTATTTAAAAAGAAATCACTTAAAAGATTCTAAAAAAGATTAAACTATGGTTAGTTTTCGTTTAAAAGTAGATTACCTTTAGTGAAAATGAAGAAATAAACACACTCAAAAGGAATTGTTGAGGTTTTTTAATGGTCAATCGATTTTGAATTGGTTAAATTGGAAGTGACTTCAAAGTATAGAAATTAATTTAAAAAAAAGTATGAGAAGGAAACTTGAAAGGGAAATGCGTGAAAAATATCAACGTAGCATCAGATTATGAGAAATAATCTTCGCCTCAAGAAATGGTACGATACGTCATTTTGCTGTTTCTTGAATTTCTTTGGTTGTTGAGTTCCCATTCGATAAGGAAAAGTATGGCAATCCTGCCGCGTGGCAAGCGATGGAGCGAGTGTTAAATTATTAAAAAAATCACCAATTGTTATTTAAATTTTTCTATTAGCAAAAAGTAATTTAATTGATAAAAATAATTTTTAAAATTCAAAAATCAAATCAAAATATAATGATTTTAGTCTAAATTCAATTTAATGAATATTATTTTACTAATATTTTTATTTAGACCATAATTATTTTCCACAAGAAATATTGAGTAAAAAATAGACAAAAAAATGTTTAAAAATTAGTCTTAAAAATTAAAAAAAAATTAATGTATTTTATATAAATAATAATAATTTTGTTAAAGATACAATCACACACATAGATTTGAGTACTCTATTAATAGGATTTTAAATTAGTGTATGTTGTGCTACCCTAAATTTTTTGATGAATACCGTACTCAAAAAATTTATACTAATAAAAAAAAATATATGTCAAGTTAAAAACAATATTATTATATATAATTTATTTAAAATTATATTATTTATTACATAATTCTATTATTATATATATATATTATATATTAAATTTTTTATTATTTTTTATAAATTTTTAATTTTAAATAAAATATAATTATATTTAAGTAATTTTTATTTATTATAAATAAAAAATTATAAATAATATATTAAGCTAATAATTAAATATTAATAATAATAAAATTAAAAAAATATCAATATAATATTATTATTTTATTTTTAAATTTTAATTTAAATATTCTTTAACTTATTTAAATATAATAAATATAATAATTTATTATTTAAATACGTGTGTAAGAAAATGTGTTTAAGAAAATTAATCATCTTTAAATATTAGATAAAATTATTTTTAAAAATATTAATTTATTTTGTTTTAAAATGTATCACATGTTAAAAACAAAAACATAAAATAATTTGTATCGCATGTTATTTCTGAAGAGGTATTGATGAAGGGAGTTATGAGGCTTCGTGCAAAATGTGCATAAAATCCAAAACTATAGAAGAAATAATGTTCTATAGCAAATTTGTAGGCCCCACTCTTGAAAATATTTTTTTCAATTAGGGATTAAAAAAATAATTTAAAGAGGATATTATAATATTTATCGTGTTTATAAAAAAAAAAAATGTTCCTATTCAATCTTAAATAGGAAATTGGAAAATGTGATGATGGTTGATTTTGATTTGAGGAGAGGATATGAAAATCTTGAATTGGCTTTGAAACGTCTCTGTATCCCACATGTTTTGCCCCCTCCAACCACTTACGTGTGGAGAGTACAAATCAACCGTATCAATTCCCAACTCCCATCTTCTCTCCATTCATTTCCAACTACCACACATCACCACTTGGATACAAATTCATGTCAATTTTCCAATATATTTCTAATCATATTCTATCATTTTTTAATTCAAGTGTATTTGGATAATAATTTAATAGTTTAATTATATTTTTAGATTTTATATTTTAAATAATATATTTTTTATTAGAAACAATTATATTGGAATTAAATAAAACTAATGAGTCGTAAAACTCTTTCTCCAAATATTTAACATAATTTCATTTACTGAGTCTCAAACTCAAAACTTTTAGAAATGAATTTTATCATTTTTAACTGTTACAATTACTTTTAATAAATTCTATAAATATAAAAAATTTTAATATTATATTAAAACAAAATCACGTATTCTAAGATACAAGGATTATTAAATACTATTTGACTTTCAGTAACTTTGTAACGAGTTAATATAACTAAAAATTGATTAAAAATAACTATGTGGAAATTAAAATAACTTACATATTTAAACATACCAATAAAATTTTGAAGATTCTGCTTATCATTTGTTAACCAAAATTTTTTACCAATTCGTTGTGTTCTTATAAATATGACATTATCAATATGGCTTCTTAACTTCTATGGATTATGTTCCTGTATGCTAACCTTTGATATTATTTTAGGATTAAATTCAACAATAATTTATAATTATTTAATATGGTTGTCAATATATTATGTACAAATTTAATGATATAAATCTAAAAAGTAAAAAAATGGTAAACTTCATACATAATGTTGCTTATTAGGCTCGTTAAATGTTAAAAGTAGAGTTTATAGTAATTTCTTTCACAAAAGCAAATATGTAAAGAGTAATGGTTACGTTGTTTTTCCTGCTTGTAGTATTCAGTATTCAATAATAAAGTAAGTGTATGGCAGTAGTGTAGTACAAAGTGGAAATACACATTTCAAAGTAAAAAAAAAACATGATGAAAGGAAGCAAAAAAGTGAGATGAAACCTGATTTTCTATTAGAAATGTGATTGTTAACCTTTGATTCTATTTGGAAAAAAACACATAAGTAAAGTAGAAAATGAAAGAGAAAGATTTATGAATTGTAAATATTGGATACATTATATAAGAACCAAATAAATGAAAAAGAAATTATCAGGTTTTTCTTCCAACTTAAAGTATTGAACAATAAAATAAATGTATTGTAGCAATATAGTTAAAAGTGAAAACACACATTCTATAAGACAAAATATGATGAAAGGAAGCAGAAAAGTGAGACGAAGCTTAGTTTTATGATAAAAGTATTAGTCATTAGCATTTGGTTTGATTTCGTAATAAAAATTGCATCGGTAAAATAAAAAAGCTACAGAAAATTCATGATCCGTAAATGTTTTATATAGACAAAATTACTTTTTTCCATCCTTAATTTTAGGATAAAATTTATTTTTATTTTTTAACTTTTTTTTTATTCATTTTCATCCTCAAAGTATTTTTTTTTTATATTAGTCATTTCTATTAGTTTTGTTACATGACCTAACATAGATGTTTTAGATGACTTTGAAGTAGTCTAACGTTGTTTATTTAATCAAACTTGAAATTTTTTTATTTAAAAATAATAAAATTTGTCTAAATGACGTTAACTTTTCATTTTTCCTCTCCTCTTCTTGCTGCAGCTCATCCTTCTTCCTCCCGCTGTTACAACTCTTCTGTCCCTTTTCTCTCAAATCTACCAATTTTGTCTCCTCTTCTTTCAACCCTCATTTTGCCTTCAAGCAGCCATTCTCCTTCCTCCTCCCCGTAGTTCCCTCACCCTTCCCCCAACCCACCATTACGTAACCTCCATTTTTCCTGCAACCTCTTCCCTTCTCCTTCCTCTTCTTACACCTCCCTCACCCTTTTGTTTATAGAATAAATTAGCAAAAGTGTCAATCTATGTCCAATTATCAATTATAAATTTGATTTATAGAATACATCCATTCTGCTCTCTTTCTTTGCATTTAAAGCTTGTAACTTTTCACTCTATTGCTTATTGGATTATTTCAGATTTGCATGAAACTCCAAATTTCATTACTTTTTATGTATAATTATTTAATTTTTTGTGAAATATGAATCTTTCATTATTTTGATGTTTATTTGTGTTGTTGATAGCGCTCCACTTGCAGGAGAAGAGAAACAAAGGTTGAGAGAGGAAGAAACAAGGTTAGTGGGTTAAAGGAAAGGGGTAGCAAAGCTGCAAGAAAAGAGGAAAAGCTATGAGGGGAGATGGGAGAAACAAGGTTGGTAGATTGAGAAAAAAAAGGTGGCAAAGTTGCAAAAGAAGAAAAAGGAGGTTGCGAGAGGAGGAGTAGGGCTAGTGAGTTAGGGATTTAGGA